ATTCAAATCTTTTTTCAAATTGACATGAATACTACTGAAATTACTTAATTGTTGAATGCGAATTTTCAAACTTTCACTAATATAAGTCAAGCTGTCCTTGTTACTAAAGAACAAACCTATTATCTTATCAACAAGCTTAACTGAATTCATTTATTTCGCCGATTTTCTTTAGCTACTTACTATCTTAATCAGTAATACTAATCACTTACTAGTAAGAGATAACATACATTCTCCACATCATATTAACAAGGATATATGAATCGTGACGGAGGTAGATCATTAAGTTGTCATAAATATGACAACGATGGGAAGCAAAGACATTTACGAAGCATAAACTTAACTTGGGTCTTTGGATGGCGGTGACTTCGACAAAATGTTATAAATTTAGCGCGAATAATGATTACATGAAGATGTTTCCATAAAGGTGATTTTACCAGTTGAAAGCACATGTTTTTATACGAATATTCCTTTAGTCAGTCAGCTACAATGTAGAACTTTGTACGAACGTACATCAATTCGATTCATCGTACCACATTAGCACAGAGATTGAATTGTAAATTCAAATCCCACAGTAGTAGAGATAGTAGAAGTGTTAGCGGTAATCATAAGGATTAAGGATCATAAATATCATTCAGGAAAAATATACCAGTCAGATAAATTTAAAAAGAGAAATAAACTATTATGAGGAACTTAGAAGACTAGAATTTGAGGGCAGGAAAGGATGGATGCACCTGAGCCATTGAAAACGGTTTTGAGCCATATCATTCAAGGTCTCTAACCATAGGTTACTTTTGTTTCGCACAACCCAACCATGTAGTCTACACCCACCAACATACTTCTGTCTACATGTCCGTGACTTCATGGATTTGTGCAATGTTTTGATCTGGCGTCCTTAGCTTTCTTTCAACTTACCCCTACATCAAATATCATCGCTCACACGTGTCCAAGTTTCATTACTTGTCATCCCTACCTAGTAACCGTTTCCTAACAGCAGCATTATTTACTCGGTTGTCCCACGAAATACGAGTAATGATTCGAAGACTCCTACGATCGAAAACCAGTAACCTACGCTTATCCTATACTCTGACGGGCCATGTTTCACATCCATATGGTAGGACGGAGAGAACAGCTGAACAGCAGACTTATCCTTTGGTCAGCTAACGGGTAACTCGCCTACGCCATGAGCGACGCAAGACGGTAAAAGTTAATCAAGCTTTTTGAATCCGTGCTGAGATTTCTTCATACATCAGGCAATCTGAACTGATGAATGTATCGTCTCTAAAAGCATGTCATTGACAAAGCTAAATAAGAATGGAGAAGGTGAGCAACCCAGATGGACACCATTTGAAGTAAGGAATTCCGATGACAGTTCGCCATAAGCTCTCACTCGACCAGTAAGGTTCGATTAGAGCCTGTACTCTTCTTCGGTACTCCTTTCAATGAAAATCACTGCCATAGAACCTAACGGTTAACAGAGTCAAATGCTACCTTAAGGTCGAAAAATACAACTATAGTGGGACGCCGAAATGTGTGTCTATATTCTAGCATCAAACGTAGTGTGTATATGTGGTCTACACGGTCACATCCAGGTGTGAAAATAGTCTGGTTCTTTTGAATCTGATCTTCACGAGCTCTCTCTCTCTCCTGTGGGAGAGAACGAACCAGATTCCAGTGGAGTTGGAAATCAGGAAGAAGCGGTGGAAGTGGATAGGACACACATTACGAAAAACACCTAACTGCATAACAAGATAAGCCCTCAGTTGGAACCCTCAGGGCAAAAGGAAAAGAGGAAGGCAAAGGAACACATTACGCCGAGAAATAAAAGATATGAGAAGAATGGACAGAATTGGACAGAACTGAGGAGGGAAGCCCAGGACAGATTTGGCTGGAGGAAACTGGTGGGCGGCCTATGCTTCATTGTGGTTAACAGGCGTGAGTAATTAAGCAAGTTACGAGCTGTGATTAGGCATCGAAGTATTATTGAAGCTAATATTTTAGACAATACATTAGTCAAACTGATTCCTGTGTGCTTGTCACAGGACTTGTCCTTTCTTATACACTGGGACTATCAGTAGTTGTGACTATTCTTTTCTGAGATAATCTCACTAATAGTCGGATTTCTAAAACCAGTTTCTTTGATAAGTTTGAACAGTTGTCTACTGTTACCTATTGCTACTGATTTTCCCAACTGTCTTGCTTTCGCTATCCACCACCGTTGGCGATCATTGTGTAGGCTTTTTATCAGCCTGTGCTTAGGCTGACTCCACTCTTCGTCATGTTAAGAGCCAGATGGGTTGAGTTCCCAAATATCTATCTATTCGGTGGATGCTATCGAGATCCACTGTTTCTCCTCAGCCTTGTGTTTTACCTTACTAGCAGATATCACTGCTGTTCCCGCGGCTTTTTGGATGTCGTTTCAAACTGCCTGGGGATGAGAATCACCAGCATGGCCGCCTAACTGTTTTTCTAGTTGTTCCAGAAATATATTTAGTTTCGCTATCATTAAGTAGGAACCTAAGGAGTTTGCTTGTGGTATGTTTCCTACCAGCAGTAGACTACAAAAAAGTACGCACTCTCATTAGAGAATGATCTGAATCTAAACATGTACTTGAGAACGGATGACCGCCTTCTGCAGAAACATTTCATCAGTGGCTGATAACGATGCGATTTAGTTGGGTCCAACGTTGGGACGAATTTGAGGGTCGTCATGTAGGACGTTTCTCTGTTTTACGTTGGTATTTACTATCTGAGAATAGTTGCAACAGACGGTCGCCAGCATCTGTTCGGTCGGCCACAACACCATAAGATCCACACAGATATCTTTCCGTTTCACTTAGTCTGCGTACTTGATCATTGAAGTCACTAGCTACTAGTGTTATATCAGAGAGCCTAACGTTTTGTAGTGGATCTGGAGGCTTGCAGTAAAACTCATCTGAGTTGTAGCCAATGGGAGTGTGGGCGGAGATGACGAAGAAGCAACGACGATTGTCCCTGTCATTCCGCATCCTTACTGTCCAGTTTGTTAGGAGCACACAAGCGACTGTCTACTGGGATCTATTCTAAGAGAGCTAGTTCTAGCCTAGGACTCAATGCTATACTTACATCAGCTAGGCCACAGGAAGCATCATGAGGGCTCCCATATATATGGATCTAGATGGCTCTGTATTTCGACATGATGAAGCCAAATGAATGACCCTACTCAGACCCTGTATACGCGTTCCGGAGACCGGCATACACCGATGGCACAAGATTCTAGAGTCCTAGCTAAGGAAGAATGTTTGATACAAGGTCTAGACATTATAAACTACAAGTCATTTGGAGCGTGGTTTCAGGATCTATGCTTCGTGAACTCGAAACGTTTGCATCAGTGGCAAAAGAACATCAGAAGAGTTAGTACGAAGTGTAGGAAGGATTTGATTGTGACTTATTTGGTTTCGTGTGCTGTTACGTGTATGGGTGCAGGTGTCACATCCCAGTCGCCTACACCGTGGGTTTCTTGAGGAACCTGAAGAGAAAGTTGGGTTAGTGTTGGTCTTAACGACCTGAAAGAGTGACTGACTACAAGCCCGAAGAGAAGACTGAATGAGACTGCTCACCCACGGACTCTTGAAGAAAATCTCTTAAACTGTTAGCTCCACGTTTCAAGTGGCCGTGAAGTAAGGTGATGTGAAATTTTTAGGACCGACCCTTCCTTCCTTGTAAGACAGAATCGATGCATATGCTAATTTTCTGACGGAAACACCTAACTGCTGACACATCCCTCTACAGTCAACAGTACGACCTCACCCTCAGACCATGAGCTGCTGCTTTTAGTCTCACAGTTCTCCAACCGACATGCCTGGCATGGTAGAGCCTACAGGAACATGTTCTAGCCAATATAGCTCGGTTGGCCCATGATGATAGGCAAGATAACAGCTATTGTCTGAAACATCCTTGTAGACAAATAACACAATCCAGGTCTCTATTCGAACCAAAATTTTCCTCAATCTTGTAACACCCTGCTGACAGTTCCCGAAACACTACATCGCATTCCATCCCACATTTTAGCTATGCACTTCACTACACGAATTTATCCTTATTCAATACGATGTCACACTAACTCAGTTCCCAGAAATTATCAGTTTGGATACCTTTAGTATTTTCTTTATCAATATACTTACGCATCTATCGTCTTTAATTGTTCTGCATGTCATCTCAGACACCAACCAACATATTTAATAGATGTGCATCTTAACTAGATACATTCAAAACACTAAGGAATGACAAACTGTTAGTGGGATATTACTTACGCCTGTTACCCCCGATGGAGCATAGGCCGCCATAGATGGAATCAAAGCATGACCACGTTGCTGCGCGCTGATTGACTAATTTGCTATCTAATCAGCACCTGATCGATTCTTGGAGAACAGGGTAGAGAATTCTCGTGTAGTTAGCTGCACTCTGATTAGCTAAATCTAATCCAGTCGACCACGTGAATCACTATCCAGAAGCTTCTCATGTAAAAACTATGAAGATACTAACTTTGTACCTATTTCGCCTTCTTATTTCTATTTAACTTTGCTATTTGGAATACAATCTTTTCCTGTTCCACCGTGTTTTTGATTCTTTGGTACTTGTCCAGTGTATTGTGGTCAGAGAATACGAAGTAATAGGATTTAGCCAGGAATTATTTAAGCAAGCGTTACAACACTAACGTAACATGTTCATACTTTGAACCACATCTCACTCAGCGTGAACGAAGTTTCGGCACATATCATTAGTGAGGCATCTAGGTATTTGGAAATTACTATTAACTAACAAAAAAAAAACAATACCCCTACCGAAAATGTTCATCCAAATATACGAACAGCTTACATAAAATGAATGACCTATAAACTTTAAACCTAACAGACTAGACAAATATTTATAGGTCACAGTTCTACATGTTTTGATGCAAATAACCCACCTTCGTTAAGACTAAGCAATGCTGACCTGAGTGGAGTACAACGTAATCCATTTAACAATTTCTCATTCTACCAGTGGATAAGAAACATAATTCAACTGTCTAGGAAATCGGAAATTACTGAGAAGTATGTACACCGCCAAAAACAGAGACCACAATTTACCAAGTCTAGAATATGTGTATCAATTATCGACACAATAAACAACTTCACAATGCAACTGCAAAAATCTTAATCCCAATGAATACAACGCTCTCATCATCACGCTGTCCAGTATAAGCACTAACACGTGGCACTTGCAACATCCAGACACAGTATACATTCTTCCATGTTTACACACGCACACACACACACATTATACAAAACTTGAATTTACAAATAAATAATACAAATTTAATTTTGCACAATTTGAGAAAAATGTTTACAAAGTAATACAATTAAAAGATGGTACAAAAAAAACAGAAGACAAGAGAAAATGAGTAACATTCTCACGGAAATGCAGTGTGCGTGTGTGTGTATCGAACAGCATTTAATAAGAAATAACAGACAGACAGCATGACTACAAATAATATTACTAGATAATTGTGAGGATTGAATATTCATAGCTTATATTGACCAGAAATGGAGAGCAAAATAGAAAAAACGAAACGAAACACAACTACAACAAAACAGATCCGCAAGAGCAGCACAAAGTAGGCTGAAGATCAGAGCAAAATAAAGCTGCTGCTGTTGCCGCTAGTGATGCTTACATGGTGTAACACACTTTAAAGTTCATCCTTTAATTGATCGTCTTCTTTAGTTGCCGATTCACTGGATGATTTACCGCCAGACTCGACAAATTTTTTCAAGGCATCAAAAGATCGATCACCGGTGTAATCGATCACCTGTGAATTTTTAAAGTCACAGAAGAAGATGAAGTAGTAGTAGTAGTAGTAGTAGTAAGCGTGAATTTAATTATATGAAAATACAATAGAGTTAACTAGTTGAACATGCTTTGTTTGTTTCATAACTTACATTTGACAGTCAGTCAGTTGCAACGTAGAACTTCGTACGTAAGTACATCAGTTCATGTTGCCATACCACATCAGCACAGAGATGTAATTGTTAATGCAAATCCAATAGTAGAAGAGTTAGTAAGGGTATTAGAAGTAATCGGAGAGGTTAGGATGAGAAGATATTATTCAAGAAGTGTGATCAAATGAGAAAAGTTTAGAAATTCAAAACTAGAGGTGTTGAAGAATCCAGAAGATTAGCATTTGAGAGAACACAGAGAATAAATGCACCGGCGCCATTGCGAACGATTTTGAGCCAACTTACGTTTGACAAAACGAAATGAACAAGCATTAAGTGGCAAGTATGAATCCGACAGCCATCTCACTTAGTTTAGATACCTAAGGTTGTATTATTATTATTGGTCTGCAGACAAATGAAGTGATTTCAGTCAGTCAGTCACACGACCTACTAAGTGACGTTGCATCAGTTCAGTTCATATTTCACAATCATCCATCATTGTTTGACATAAGAAATCGAATGCAAAATTATTTTAAATTCAAGTTAAAAGCAACTGAAAAACCTGGTTGATTTTGCTTAATATCGATAAAACATTGATGTATATTTCTAGGAAAACAAGAATTTGTTTTGCAGAGATAAACTGACCTAAATTAAATAACTAGTTCAAATTTTAATAATTGCTGCTGACCTTGTGTGACCTGTGTCATATTTATCTAAATATGCAGTAATTTTGCCTTATTATTAGCCGACCTTAGTGTGCTTTTAAGCTGAAAGTAGTGGACAGATGGGTAACACTAACTTATTTTGCCTGGTACTTAATGACAGTCGGCAGAGATAGTCAAAAAGACTAGTAATCGGTGAAGTAAATAACTATCAGACATAGACTTGGACGTAGCAATCTTTTACAACTCTTGAGACAAGTATTAAGTCGACTTATATCCACGAAAGTACTTTGGTGCTCTCATAAGCGTTGAACGATTATCAAGTTTAATAATAATTACGTACCTCATCTGAATTCTTGGGATAAAACTTTAGAGTTGGGAAACTGGTAACTCTAAGGTCTTCCACTTCATTTATTGTAGCATCCATCTTTGCGATCACTGTATCCGTGTTCTTGAAAGTTTCACCTAATTCATCCCAGACTGGAGCAAGAGCTTTGCAATGACCACACCAAGGAGCATCTAAAAAAATTTCAAAAAAATTTATTTGAAGAAAAGTCTTCTTCTTAGTTATTACGTAAGTATTTGTTTCGTTAGGGTAGAAAGCACAAAGTATTTTGAAAGTAGGTGTTGATTTCTCCTAGTATTTCAGTTTGTATATATAATTGCAAAGGACATTATCAGAAATAGCATGCTAGAAATTTGAGGATGTGGCTCGAATCTACTGTACGCTTTGATAATACTTATTGATATTCTAACGAAAAGGTTAACACCTAATCTTGAAATACGTGATATTTTCACAGGAAATGATTCAAAGAGTCAGTCAGCTACAATATAAAACTTCGTAATAAATACGTACATCGATTCGAATCGTCGTCCAACATTAACACCGAGATTGAGTCGCAAATTCAAATCCGTTGTAGTAGAGGTATTAGAAGTATAAGTGATAATCAAAAGATTGAGGATGAAGATATTATTTGAGAAGTATAGCCTGGTGAAATTGTTAGAAAATAGAGGTGATAAGGTATTCAGATTATAATTTGAGGGGGATAAAGGATGGATGGACCTGTGCCATTGCAAACGGTTTTCAGCCATATCATTCAAGCTCTCTAACCATCGGTTACTTTTGTCGCGCACAACCCAACTACGTAGTCTATACCTACCAACATGACTTTGTCTACATGTCAGTGACTTCATGAATTTTGCCGTGTTTTAGTCTGGCCGCCCTTAGCTTTCTTCTAACCTAACCCTACATCAGACATCATCGATCATCGCGGCATTCGTAACGTGTCCGAACCACATCAACAGATTAAGTTTCACCACGTGTCATTCATACCTAGTACTCGCTTCCTAATGACAGCATCGCTTACTCGGCTGTCTCACGATACTCGAGCAATGCTTCGGAGACACCTATGATCGAAAACCAGTAACCTAAGAATATCTTCTACTCTCACTGACTATGTTTCACAGCCGTAGAGTAGGACGGAGTGAACTACTGTGCAGTACACTCGTCCTTTAGTCACCTAACGGATATCTCGTTTGCGCCATAAGTGACGCAGGTTGGCAAAAGCCAATCGAGCTTTCTGTATCCGAGCTGAGATTTCGACACACGCTAGACCATAGGCACTAACGAGACTACCGAGATAAGTGAAGCGGTCTACACGCTCGACTACTTCACTAGTTCAGGTGACGATGCAACCCAGTCCTTGAAGCAACGTTTTGCATTTGGAGGGTGAGAACCGCATCCTGAACATGCTTTTACTGTTGCTTAATGTGTTCAGATTGCATTTTGTTGGCGTCTTCACCAAATAGAACAATGTCAACAGCATAGTCCGAGTCAACAATCGAGTCTCCTGATAGCATGTTAACTCCTGAAAAGTCAGATGATGAAAGTATCGTCTCTAAAAGCATGTCATTGACAAAGCTAAATAATAATGGAGAAAGTGGTTAGCCCAGACGGACACCATTTGAAGCAAAGGATTCCGATGACAGTTCTCCATAAGTTCTCACTCAACCAGCAGTGCTTGAGTAGAGAGCTTGTACAAGGTTAATGTACCTTTTTAGTACACCTATCAACAATTCCAAGGACTCGTGGTCAAATTAAGAAAACTAGTAAAGATGCATTATTACATAAGTATCACAATTCGAGACAAAATAGTAATACAACTTGTGCATAGATTAATAACATATCTACTGAAATGAAACACTTACACAATTTAACAAACACGTCTTTTGTTTTGTCTTTAACTACATCGTTGTAATTTTTACCGACAAGAACTCTAACAGCACCTGTTTGATCTGTTGGTATTTCTTCACTCATAAGGAAAGGTTTAACTTTTCCATCAATTGTTCTTTGAACAAAATCGGACATTGCAGAAACAGAGTAATCGTTAGAATCTGGCTTATATTTAGTTGTTTCTTCACCTAGTTCAATGATTCGGTAAGTTGGGGCATCACTTTTCGAGAGTCCGAAAAATTCCAGAACGCGTAAATTACTTTCGACATCCACGTCGACGTATATTACATGAAGCTAGAAGGTAAAAAACGAAGCACATGAAAATATCTGAGTTTTTACTCCTGTTCATTAAAGGACGAATGTGATCACTATAAATAGAGATTCTATTTTACTAGTCGATTTAATTGAAGAACAATTTGGATATCTATTTACGCACTATCTACTAAGTATTACTTTTTCGCAATATCAGGTATCAATCTCTTGTCACCTACGCCTTTTGTAAGAAACACTAATTGGCAGTTCTACTACAATGTACCTTGTGAGATCGAAAATAAATACAAGTCAGAACGATAAGTATGATATTTGGTGACGTGGAAAACCTCATACCTTTTTTGTATGGATTTTTGCTGCTACTTTTCAACTGGTTGCAGTCACTTATTTTCTGAAGGCATCCAGAAACATGGTCTTGGAAAATGAGTAATTCCTTATAGTATACATCAAGAAAACCTAGTCCACGTACATTTTTCGTTTTTGAATCACCCACTAATGCATTATATACTTCTGGCACATCTATTAGCATGCTAAAGGTTAAGGTTTATTGAAAGAATGAATGTTGGAGTTTAGAAAACGTGTGATATTTAGAATTGTATTAATTTAAACTACATCGGAAATTTCCCATTAAAGCTAGGTAAGAAAGTAGTAAACTGAGGTCCATTAGCTCTACAAATTAATCTGTGCAAGCATCAATCTTTATGTGGAGAACTTTTAGTGAGACAACTTAGTTTGAAAGCACTCTTTCGTGCATATACCTGCCCAAGTAAAGTAGTAAGAGGGACATTTTAAATTAAAATGATAAGACACTAATTTATAGGCACTTGTGTGGTATGAACTGAAGGAGCTAGAATCCTAGAATTAGTCATAGGACTTTTGATGTCTTAAACAGTTTCATATCCCATTAAGCATTAGAACATAGGTGAAAAAGCAAGCACTTTTTAGTGACGTAGTTTGTATGAAGCATCTCTAGCACTAGTATGAACGCCACACTAGATTATCGCCATAATTACATACCTTGCCTTTGAACTGTCTCGCAACTTTGGTTAATCTATCAACCAGTTCTGAGTGGTCTGTTGATTTTGAGAGGAAGAAGACAATGTGTTTTTGGACTGGACTTCCAAATACAACTCCTGCTGTCTTTTGGGAGAATTCTGATACAAGCGGTACACTCTCCACCTGAACGAAATGCTTTAGATTTTCAAGTGTTTCTCCTGTATACTCAACACGATTATCGTCAAACTATAAATGATAAATTTATTAGAAAAACGAAACATACATTTTTAAACAAAACGATTTTTGGTGTCTGTGTGATACCATACTCAGTTAAAATATCACTGGCGTTAGCTACTGCAAAATCAGCATCATCTAACTCATCTGCCACTTTCTCGAAATCCGCCAGATTTACAGAGTCCGTATCCTGAACAGTAAGCATGAAAATACTCATGTACCTTGATAAATCCAAGTACAGCAATTGTAGCTTTGTCGACAAATTGTTTACAACTTTCGACTGATTCAATATAGTCCACGGAAGGTTTGGATTTTCTTAAGCACCAGCTCACAATCGCATCTGAGTCTCTTTCACCACCAAAGTCGATAGGTTGTTCGTTTCGGAAGAACTTCAGAGTTGGATATCCCTTAACACCATGCTTATACGCAAGTTCTTCTTCAACAGTAGCATCCACTTTAGCAAGTTTAATCGGCGAACCATTTTCCTTCAATTTTTTAGCTGCTGCACTGTATTCTGGGGCAAGAGCCTTGCAGTGACCACACCAGGGAGCATCTAAATGAATCAATCACGTGAAATGTTTTAACTCACAGAACTCAACCAAAACAAATTGATTGGCCTTAATAACATCATCAAAGTTCTTTTTATTCAATACAAGCACGTCATCTTCTTCAGTAACTTCTGCTGCAGCGAAAGCAAGAAAGACAACAACAACAGCAACTAACAACTTCATAGTTGTACGTAGAGATGACACGTCTGCCTGGCTAGTCATTTCAACAAACACAAAAAAGTACCTGCGTACAATTTTCAATTTACAAAAATGGTTCTAATAATTCTAATGAGTGTTGATGGAATAAAAGAAGCTTTCGCCCATTTTATGGGCGTCTTCCCTATAACTTGCGTTGAGAACTAGCTAACAGGAAGCAATTGAGGAGATGCTCGGGAGTGTTTAGAATGTTCTGGGTCACTATTAATTCACTTCTGAAAGGCTTATATTCTAACGAGTAAGGATCCAGTGACGTGAGGCACTCTTTAAAAGGTCTTAACCTGTGTCATCGAAATGATTCGGTTTCTCGCCTATGCATAGGTTCTAGTGTTTTACTGTCCTTTCGGTGGGAGGGAGAAAACAGTATTTAAACACTCTAAATGGGGTCGAATAAAGGGTAAGTATAACTTTTTGCTATCAAACTGACCGAAAATGTGCTTTTAACGTTGCGGATGCAGTGTTAGCCCAAAAGGCAATTTTATTACAGTTGCCTCAGGACTTCAAACCATAGTATACCAAGGTACCTTAATCTTTTTCAAATTAGGAAACCTCTAAAGGAGAGCAATACAAGGTGTGTATATGGTCCCGACCGTAGCTGCAACCCTGACGTGGTGATCAGGCTTGCCTATCGTGATGATCCAACCGAGCTATATTGGCTGGTACATATGTTCCTGAAGGTTCTACCATTCCAGGTAGGTCGATTAGGGAACGATGAAACTAAAAGCAGCTACCCAAGGTCTGAGGGCGAAGTCGTACTGCTGACTGCAGAAGGGTGTTACAGCATTAAGGTGTTTCCCTCGGACAGCCAGCATCCGTAGCGATGCTGCCTTCTCACAAGGGAGGAAGGATTAGAAAACGCGGACCCTAAAAATGTCACATCTCACCCTACCTCATGAATTTCCGTCTCCGGTGGTAAGGGTGCCGGCTAAGGGCTTTTAAGAGCTGAGCTAATGCTCAAAAAACCCTTCATAAAAAGGTCATGCGTGACTGGCCTCAAGCAGTCTTCCTTTGGGCTCTGCGGTCACACTCCCAGGTCGAACCTCCCCAATCCGCTCGCTCGATTCATTCGCTTCATCATATTCGCCCATTTATTCGTCCAGACGTCTTCACAGAAGATCAGTTAACACTCACTCACTCACAAATCGAATACAACCAACCAGTTGGTAATTTCGAGGACAAATCGTACAGAACCACTAACTGGAAATCCCGACGCCGTACATTGACAAAGCAGCTCAATAAATGAACGAATTCGCTGAACGAATCACTCGAACAAGGTAACTCTAACTTTCATAACTTTTGATGTTTTCCAACAATTTTGACTTTTTTAGCAAACACAGACACTTTCGTATCCTTGTTTGCTGGAAGGGGGCTATTGTAGTGCCCCCATATATATTCCGGTTCGTTTACATCTATTTTAGTTAAGTCCTTTCGAATAATTTATTTAACCAAGCCATTTCTATTGCAACAA